TGTCTACTGTGGCTCCACGGGCACTTTCAGGCAATGATGGTTTGTTTTCTTGCTGCATCTTGCAAATACAGGACTAGATATGCTTTTCACTTAGATTTCTAACATCTAACTTGAGAATGGAGAGACTCTGCCACAAGTTTCAATATTTATTTGTGATAGACAATTGTGCACAAATAGTACTTCGATGAATTCCTTGATTCTCAGTTTAAGATGAGGCAATTTTAAATTAATTAATTTAATTAATACTTAATTCAGCATATACATTATAGAATAAATCATAAAATTGATGGACTTCAGTTGTATGTTGACTGTTAAGACTATACATTTGTCTCATGATCCTACTAATTTATTTACTAAGTCACCCAAATAAGCTCTGCATATCAAGTTGGATGAATTTGCTTTCGTAAGACTGTAGTAAGCATGACTCAATCATGTAATTCAGCCATGCTTTGTGCAATTTTGCTTATATCTCATGTTTGTGATACACCACTGTGTTAATTAAGAGTGGTTGATCCTTGATAAAGAGTTATGAAAATTTAACACAAACTGAATATTTATTCTTTAGTGTAACTGGGTAGGTGTCAGTGTCAAGACTGTTTATTGTAACCAAAAGTAAAAAATCAATCATAGGGTTGCACAGAAAGACCAATACAAAGGCAATACAAAAAAAAAATTAAAACAAAAAAACCCTAAATCACAGCTTTGCAAATTCATTTAATTGTTAATAAAATCACATTGTTAATTTGAAGTAATTGTTAATATTAACTGAACCATAGGAAGCATACTTCACCGTTTCCATTCATTTTTTCTGGGCTTTTTTTTTCAGTCATAGGTGATGGTTTCTGTCCTTTGACAAACCATAATTAAAAAAATGTCTACCCTCTGCCTTTCATTAAAAATAAAATTACACACAGAAATAAAGGCACTTACCAAAGAACCGTTTTGTCTTCCAAACTAAAAGACATAAGCATCTTCTCATCAATGGCAAGTAGCTTTTTTTCACTGGCTCCACTGGGATTTATTTACTTGGCAAAAATAAACCAAGAGCAAATTCTTTTATAGCAAAAACAATGAGATTATATCCATCCACTTCCCCTATCTCCTTCCCACCCCAGCTTCTATTTATTTAAGAAAATGTCTGTACAGTCCAATGGCTTCCATGAAGGTGAGCTTAACCTTCAGCAAAGTCAACTTTACTGAAGCTCCTCTGAGGAGCACAATGGGAAAAAACCCCGTAAGTGACAGATCAAGCATCATCAGAGAAAGTAAACTCCTTGAAAGATTTCTGTCCACACTGATGAGTTGAGAACAGTCTTTAATGGTCAGTGTTAAACTGCTGTATTAGGTTAAAAGAAATGCTGACATGTTAGCACATAACATTATGTGCATTTTAGTTCTATAATATGTAATACAAATAAGTGTATCTTTATTTATTTGACTAGATGATTCTGAACTGAACTACAATGTAGTTATGCTGGAAATAAATATTTGAAGCCTATTATATGATCTGTGCCACAGCTTTTTCTTGGCAGAAATAGAATGTTATTTGAATCTTTATATTACTACAAATCATTGTAACTAGGCTAAACCTGTATACCAGTGGTTCTCAAACCATGGCCTGTGGTTTCCTGGGGGGGGGACATGATTCATCAAAGGGGGTCCATGAAGAGGAAATGTTATGATTTAAATCTTGAGTTAAGTCTTGGGGATCTGTGGCCATAGTCATGGCCACAAAAGGTGTTTAGAAGAGGTCTGTGTGAAGAAAAAATTAAGAACCACTAATATATACTGTATAGGGTGCCATAATACTATTATTGTTGCTCAAACTTTAATGTGCAATGATTTTTAGCATAAAGTTCATAGACAAAGATCTTCAACGTCACAATTTGGTGTTCAGGGATCTGGCCCTTCAGAAGTGTTGGAATACAACTCATGTTGGGTCTGACCACTGCTCATGTTACCTGAGAATGAGGGAATTCAGAATCAAACAACCCCTGAACCACAGATTCCTCTGGAAGTAATAAATTCATCAATTCTCTTTTTCTTATGTGAATAACAAAAAATTGTTTAGAATCTCTGTTCATAGAATGAATGTAACTAAGCCAAGGACTCTTTCTTTTAATTATGCTAGTATGCTGCTAAAACAAGCACTATTAATTAACTAATTCCAGTTTAGAATAGTACAGTTAAGTCCCAATTTTGTAAAATGAATGTTCATTATTAACTGACAAAGAGAGTTTTTTTCACTCTAATCCTTAAACCAAAATTGCTGTAATGGTTGCTCATCACATTAAAAATAAGGTGCACTTCAGGGACTGACCTTAAAAGGATCTAAGTTGATGGAGGGGAATCTACACTTGCAATAGGAAGGACTTCTTTGAGGAGTTTGGATTAAGTCTTATGAAATAATACAATGATTTATTTCTATTATGTTCATAAAACATTGGTTTAAAAAATAGGAATGTTTTATGTCCCTAAACCATATTGTGTCTTGGTGACTTAATAAATAAATTGATAGGACTAAGACCCAACTTTATAGCCATACAATCAACAGTTCAGTTGAAGTCCATCATTTAATTTAGGCATCAGCTTTGCATGATAGTTTTTAAAAATATGAGCCCTGTTGTAATTTTTTTTAAGCTGAAAGTTCTCATTTTACTTCACAGATCACTTGCTGAAAACAAAGTTTTCATTCTTTACAGGGAAGACAGGTTTTGAATCAGCAACCAACAATTTGTTTAAAGTTACCTCAACCACAAAATATCCACTACCAAATTATCAAAATTCTCCTTGTATATATTTCTATTTGAATGACATTGTGCATAACAGATGAAAAGGGCAATTACTTGATCCATTAACACTCACCTTATAAACCTCTTCAAGACATCCTAAAGTATCTGATAATAAACATTTTTATGTCTCATGTAGACACAATGCCTGCATTAACTTTATTATGTATTTTAAAAACAGAAACAACAGATCATGCCACAAGCTGAAATATTGCAAAAGTGGAAATCAGTAAGAATTTTGGTAATTATTTCAATAAATTCAGATTCCATATACATTCTGTGAAAAAAGGGACATATTTTTTCAAATCAGTAAGAAACTCTTGCTTCTGAGCTATAAGGCCAGGATGCCACCTGCTGGCATTATTTTTCATACTCTAATAGCTGCATAGGAGAGTGACAAGAGAGCATTGCTCAAAGGCAAAATGTGTGCATGGGATTCAGAAGATCCCACTTTGAAATGATTCCTCCATCTTAAAGGCATCAAGTAGAAAAAAAACCTGTGACGGAAATATAGATGGAGTCATATAGCATATCAGAAAACATTTCTTTCTGAACCTCTGTAGCTTCATATAGTAATGACTATATGAATAAACTGACTTTTAAGAAAATAGATTTTTTAAAAATTGCTCTGACATCATACCATGAAATATTTATGCTGGAATATAATGCCATTCTAAATTGAGAATAAAATGTTCAGAAAACTTGATTTCTAACTCTGGATACCCTAAATGGAATAATGAAAATAAAATTTGAAGAATTGTCATTGTACGACAAATTGCATTACAGATAGTTTCACTTAATGACCCTAACTGGGACTGGAATTTCCACTGTTAAGTCATACAGTTGTTGGGTGAAATATCATATGATGATACCATTTAGCCACAGCACTTTTAGTAAGGACCTCATGCTTCTCCTGCCTCTGCTGCACCTCCCCTGTCCTTCCATTTCTGCCTTTTTGATACTCTGCACTACATGTCCCAGCTACCCTGCAGTCTATCACTCCTTCGCCATTATCTTCTTTTGGCTGCTCACAAAGCCTGCCTGGATTGGCACTTTGCATGGCAAGTCCTGGCCTCATTAGGAAGGCATCATATGGCCAATAACTGCCTTGCAAAGGGACAGGCTGGTGCATCTTATCAGCAGCAGCAGCAGGAGGAGGAGAAGGAAAAAGATTGCAAAGGTCAGCTGGGAACAGGATGGGTGGTGGGGAACAAGACAGCAGAGGTTGCCAAAAAGACAGAGATGGGGATAGATAGGCAGGTAAGGAAAAGTTGAAGTTGTCAGAGATTTTTCCACTCTGCAGTTAGTGGAACATGTGGGTGGGCTGCCAACTGCCTGAATTTTGATCACATGTCCATAGGGAGCTTGCAAAGCTGTAACTACTAGTGCCAGATGTAAATACCATTCATTCAGCACCACTGTAACTTTTGGTGAAGAGTGGTTAAGCAGGGACTATCTGCAATGCATATCAGTGTAATGTGTGATTATTTCAAATATTAAGGGTGAGATATAAGTTTATTTATGTCTAGATTCTATAAAATTCTATAAAATTAAGATTCTATAAAATTAATGGACTTTAAATAGGATCATGATTATTTTGAACCCAGACTGATCAACAGAAGCGTGCTTTATAGCTAAATACTTAAATATATCCATGCTCAATACATTTGCTTATACTGAACATTCGCAGTGTACACATCCTTTTATAATAAAGTCTTATAGGTACAGCGAGAAACATACAGGGCACCTGGTTAGCAAAATTTTGCTACTAACCAAGAATCCAACTATTAACTTTCAGGACTCTGATAGGAATCTCATCTGAAGCAGAAATGTACTGGTTGGCCACAGCAATATATCTTTAACTTCCAACCTGCAAATCAGACTGATTAACTGCAGGGGCAGCTACTAAAAGGAACTGGGCCAGAAAAAATGACAGATGCATAATAACATAATAAGCAGACATTAGATAATGGGAATTTCTCTTTTCTACATTTATAAGCTCTTAACACACCATTCTCATTTCGTCCCATCTCAGTGAAAAGTTTCCTTTGCTGAATCAAAGGAAGTTATTTGTGTTTATTTGTCTAATGCAATGTGACCTATTAATAAAGCCACCTAAAAGCTGTGAGGATTAGGTAGTTATATAGTTACAATGCATTTTTAATCATCTGACGAGAATATCGCACATTGAGGGAAATGCAGGAAATAGGCTTAAACAGAATAATATATAGTCTTTATTTTCCTTTCCAGAACAATCATTTTTCATATCAGTATATAGTGCCAACAATTGTATTTGTCCTCCAAATTTTCCATCTTCACTTTATTTTTCCCCCCAAATAGGGGATACTTCCAAAATGAATGACAGTGATTAATTCCAAAATTACTTTTTGGGATACTTCCAAAAAGACAGTAATTTATTTTGGAAGTGTCTTCTCATTGTCCCGCAAGACAAACCAGTCTGTGCCACTCACCAAAACACAGTTAGAACCAAAATGTCGGTGTCCCTCCTATTTCTGCTGCCTGCCTGAGACTGCAAAACTAGGAAGTGGATAGCAAGTCTTTGGCAAGTTAACTTAATTCTACTGGTGGTTTGCCATGCAGTTTGAGGTTCACACAACACGAAACTCTGCTGTAAGTGTAAACAAATGAAACCTCACACTGAAAGCATTAGCCACTGCTAAGGGATAGCTGAAGAAATTGTAAATTATTACTTTTAAAAAAAAGTCCCTCCTTTTACATATATAAAATGCTGCTTCCTGCTACTGAGGGCTGCACAACTGAACATTGTAACAAAAGCAAGGAAAAGATATAAAAATTGTTCCTTTTGAAATGTGCCATGTTTAATCCCTGAATAACAGATTTTTTTTAATTTCACGTAAGCAAACATTTAATTTCAGATTTTTTAAAAAATTAAAGTATTTGGCTTTGCATAAATCATAACCATCACTGGTAGATTCTATTACATGAAATCTTTCCATTCATTTCAACTGCTTCTCTTTCGCATTGACATTCAAAAGTACAGTATAGTAGATACAAACACATATGCATGACCAAAATTTCAGCTGGGTATCAGTGCTTTACAGGACAATCCTTTGTGAACTTACTCAGAAGGAAGCCCCACTACACCCAACTAAATGTAACTGGGCTTATTCCCTGGTAAGTGTGCAAAGGATTACAATCTAACAGTGCATTCTCTAATATACCTACTTAGAAGTAAGCTCTACTGAATTTATTGGAACTTAGCTTCCAAGCAAATGTGAATATAGGACTGCAGCAGCTATTGTGAATCTATCTCAAAAGAAAACATACAACATTGATACAAATACACACACATACACACACACACACATACAATCAGTATAAAAACTTATGAAAAATATTTTTTCGGAAACAGTCTTCCCCTGAGGGTATACCACATATATGTTGGATTCATAAATATTGATCTGCACTGCAGCTTAGTCATCCAAGTTCATTTCTTCCAAGATGTATAAATTGCTTCAGTCACCTGACAAGTCTGCAGTGGTTGCCTCAAGATATGTTCCCTACTGTAAGGTGATGAAGAACAACCGCATCAATGAGGCCTCCGGAAAATCTGGAGAAGATTCCTTCTTCCACATATGGAAGATACAAGAGCAGGACCAATAGGGAACAACTGTGTACCACATGGCCAGGATTTTAATGTTTCCTTACCCCCAATATAATTCATTGGTTTTTCTGGACCCAGTCCCAACTATCTTCATTCTCTTGTCTATTCTTCTCAGCCTCAATGATTTCTTTGTATTTTCTGCGAAAGAAGCCCATCTGCAAATTAAAGGAAAAAAGAGAGGAGGGAAGAAACAACTTTATGAATATTTGGATTCCTTTTTTTATTTGTAATATATATTCTCAGATTGTTTCACTACTCTATTAATAGAAAGGTACTCATCAGAAAACAAGCAAGATCAGACCAGGCTTCCCCAATAAGATGCATTCCAGAAGTGTGAGACATATTAGGTGGAAATTCCAAGATATGTATTCCAATACAAAAGAAGAGTAATGCTGCAAGCAGAGTTATGATTTGGAATTACATTGAGTATGGAAGATTCATGATCCAGGTAATTATGAACATAAAAGAAAAAGGCATGTTGATTCAGAATACTCCAAATAAACAAACATGCTTCTGAGAAAGCAGAATATGAAGTTTAAAACTCTTCTCTGTTGTTGATCCCACTGTTCACATATAAAGAACTGTATGATTTTTGCTTTCCTGTAGCCTGAATCCACAGTACCCAATTTGATAGCTGTTTTCTGATTCCTTTAATTATCACTATTCCTCTATTTACTGACAGTATTGCTCTGTGCTTTTTTACTTTCAAAGATCCAGGTTGATATGAGAAAATAAAAATGGCCTTTGTTTTGAAACACAGACTTATAGTCCCTACTTCGTACTCTACGATCAAAATGTCACATGTTTAGGAACTAAAAGCACCAAAAATGTATAATAACGGAAAAACAATGTTACAAAAGGGTATTCTATTTGATTACAAGAAATGATGGAAGAAGCACTGAAATAAATTGACGTAGGAAATTAACCCCTATGTTAAAATATACTAAAATATATTCCTCCCTTTTGCAATCTTCTCTATTTATTATCCTTTACATTCTCCTCCATCTAAAATTCCCTTGCTATTTGTTAGAACTTCTTGTTTTTTGACAGGAAAAGGATAAAGTTTCTTGGGGATTCTAGGGCTACTATATATATTTTCTCAGCTTACAGTAGTTATTTTTAATGGGGCTTCAGGAGAAAGGCTGATACTTCTCCATAAGGCTACCTTTTGATGATCTACCTTTAGATTTTGCACAAGAACATGAACTCCTTTCTTGCCCAATAAGCAGAGGTTCTCTAGGAGCCACCTGCCGCTTGGCATTTCAGCAGTATATCTGATGGTCATGCCTTGGAATTAAACGGCTGCTTTAAGAAGTAGCAAAGTGGAAAGGTTTTGCTACTCATTAAGATTTTTTAAAACCTCCTTCACCTTTAACCATTATCCCAAATTATACCAAGTTTCAGTTTAGGAAAAATTCAGTATAACTTTTTTAAAAGGTTTATATTAAAAGTATCTCGTGATATTCTGTAAGGAATAAATATTTCATATTCACATTAACTATTTTGGTACAGATTGTCCACAAGAGGGTACAGTTGCAAACTCAGCCGTTCAGCATAAATTTTACCTTCTACACAAACCCCTGAATAATAATTGCACAAGTATCCAATTACCCAGAAAGATTGCACTGTTTCAATGGAGATCATATTCACTGACAGAGAACATCTGCAAGCTTTCTGTTCAGTTTGGAATTGTCCACTATTTTGACTGGTCATTTAATATTAATTTGTGGCTTTGCAAGTTCCCCTCTAGAGTAAAGAAATTGCGTTCTGTAAACAGTTGAGTCTTTTCTTCCTTACTGGAGTTTTTATGCCATTCCATAAACAAAAATAATTGCAAGAGATTTGGGTAAGCATTCAAGAGTAATTGCTCAAATGTAGCAGCATGGCATTGAGATCATTAAGTCAATATTTTGTTCATTGTAATTAAACATTTATGTAACTCCTACTGTTTAAAACCTGTTTTCACCCTCCTGCAGTTTGTGATGTTTTAGTGCACCTCCATCAGTCAGATGTTATTACTCTCTTTCCCAACATGGAGTGTATTTAAAAGAGCTTTGATCCTGCTAAGCTCCTGTTAAGTATAGATTTTTAATTGAAAATCTTTTATCGAACTGTATGTCCTACAAAAATTCAGAATTTGAGGGCATTTCTGGTTAAAGGCAATGCTGAAAAGCAAGAAAAAAAATATTATTTATATAATTAATTATGGGGTTGCATATAGCACTGCTGGGCTGCATGTCCAGCATCATGCTTCCATCAGCTTCATTCATTATTCTGTTGAGAAAGTTTGCTTATCTCACAACAATAACAACAATAATAAAGTTGGAAAGGACCTTAGAGGTCATCTAGTCCAACCTCCTGCTCAGGCAGGAAACCCTATAGCACTGATGGCGAACCTTTTAGAGACCGAGTGCCCAAACTGCAACCCAAAACCCATTTATCACAAAGTGCCAGGGCCGCATCAGCATTGTGGTGCCCTCAGGAGGGAGCAGGGAGGCACCTCTGAATGCCACCTCTGGCACGCAAAAACCTGGAGCACAAAAATGGGCCACCATGCTGCAAGGTGCAAAAATGGCCGCCGTCGCACCACGGGGTGCAGATACAAAGCACTGCAACATGCAAGAACGGGGCAGGGCTAGTGAGTATCACGCAGGCACTAGCCCTACCCCATTTGCAGCACGTATGTGCTCGCGGCCCCGTGTGCACACTCATGCATGTAAAATGCTTCCCCCTCCCATTTCTTCCAGTCCACCAATCGACAATGGTTGGTGACCTCTGCTCTACCACCTCTACTCGAGTTTGCTAGTTGGCCACTTCGCCTTCTTTGTGCTGGGTGAGGCTCCTGCTCTGGGCGGCGGTGGCAGCCTATGGACCTGCTGCTGGCAGCGGTGGCACATGTGCCAACAGAGAGGCTCTGAGTGCCGCCTTTGGCACGCGTGTCATAGGTTCCCCACCACTGCCCTATAGCATTTCAGACAAATGACTGTCCAGTCTCTTCTTAAAAACTTCCAGCGTCGAAGCATTCACAGCCTTCAGAGGGGGCGGGTTATTCCACTGATTAATTGTTCTAACTGTCAGGAAATTTCTCCTTGGTTCCAGGTTGCTTCACTCTTCCATCCGCTGCTTCTTGTCCTGCCTTCAGGTGCTTTGGAGAATAGCTTTGGCAGATGCAGCACACTGCTGGCTCATATTTAAGTGATTGACAACTAGGACTCTGAGATCTCTCTCACAGTTACTACTATTGAGCAAAGTACCACCTATACTATACCTGTGCATTTGGTTTTTCTTGCCTACTTTTTTCACCATTGAGTTTCATTTTTTTTAGATAGCACCCAGTGTTCAGGTCTGTCCAGATCCTTCTGTACTTTAAGCCTGTCTTCTGGAGTGTTGGATATTTCTGCCAGCTTGGTGTCATCTGCAAATTTGATGAGCTCCCCATCTATCCCCTCATCTATCCCCTCATAAAAATCATCTATATCAACAACTCCCCATTCTGATAGACATTGTGATAAAATTATTATAACAGAACAAATTTTGTAGCCCAGAAACAATTCAAATGGTTTGCATAATAGAGTGAATCCTATGTACAACAACCTCAAAGCTGAAGCTTGTAATATGTTTTATTACATTAAACAAATAGCCATTTCAATGCCTACGAGAAATAATATTGCATTATGTCTTCTGAAAAATGTATGCTGTTGGAAAGCTATTGCATTAATATTCTAGTATCTGCATTGGTAAATGACTATCTTGCATCAAAAATATGCTGATGTCCTGTAAGATCTTAGATGTTTTGGATTAAGCATATTTAAAGGATTTATTCATCTCTCAAACCATTCCATTTTAATGTTCTCTAGCCTTAGTATGATTCAAGAGCTCTCAAAACACCCTTTCCCAATTTTGGTACCCTCCTTATGTTTGTTGTTCAGTCCACTAATGTTATTGCTGAGAATTCTGGGACATATATTCATACAAGGAATGGCAACTAAGTTAGGGAAGCTGTTATAAAATAAGTAAAAAGCTTGTCTTATCTTTGGAATTCCTTTCCATGGATATATTTAAAAGCCGAAACTGTGTGTAAGCCATATTATTTCTAATTCCTCTGACTTTTGCTATATGGAAACAGAACAGAGATTAGCCTGAGGACTGCAAGATGGACAAGAACAGTGGTTCTCAATCTTTTTAATGCCGCGACCCCCAATCGATCGTAAGTCGAGGACTACTCAACCGGTTGTAAGTCGAGGACTACTTAACTGGTATAGCACCGTTTGCAGAATGGGACTTTTGGTGGGCTCAGCAGGGCAGAGACAGCCTGGACAATTCCTATTGGCTTTTGAAAGCCAATAGAATTACTCTATTCAAGAAAGTCTCTTCTATTGGCTTTCAAAAGCCAATAGAATAAAAGGGAGTAGCACAGCTAAGGAAAAGGGGAAAAAGTGGCGGACTGTGTTGTTTGGCGACCCCCGTGAAATGGTCGTTCGGCCTCAAATGGGGTCCCGACCCACAGGTGGAGAACCACTGGACAAGAAGCTTACAATCAAATATGACCATTTTGTAAACACAACTGGGTCTCAGGAAGAAACAGACTGAAAGGAAACTATTACAAAAGGTGAGGTGAAAAAGCCACAGGATTTACATCCTAGGAAAAACATTTATAGAAAAAAACCTGATCCTTAGTTAGTAGGAGATTCCTGCTAGTAAGAGTCTTCGTATCTGCAATGATATATCTTATCTATTCAAGTAGAGTTCCAGTTTTCTCAAGAGAAAAGTGAAAATAAAGGCAGGTATTAACAGTGAGCAACTTTTCCATACCTGAAATCAACATTTTATCTTTCAAATATGTAGCACTTGACATAGTGACTGGAGAATAAAATGAAGTGAGAGGCCACTGAAGCTAATTTTCACATATTGGTAAGACTGAAAGAACTTAAAGGCAAAATATAGGAACCCCACAATGTACGCCAAAAGATGTGAATGAGTGAGTAAAGGGAACAAAGAACAAACAAAATTTAAGGCAGCAGCTCAAAGAAATCTAAAACTAAATGAGAGCAGAATACTTGTGTCTCAGATACAAATCTCAGATAAAATGGACTGAATCACTTATGCTGAATCCAGCCCAAAATTATTCTAGAGGGGAAAATATAAAACAGCCTTC